TCTAAGGTTTTAAGGAATGCTCTCATTTGAACCTTCCAGTATGCATAGTTGTTTCCGTAAAAAAACGGAGGCACGGATAGTGACGGGCTCATTTAGATTTATTTTAGGTCAAGAATCGAAATTTGGCTCTGATACCAATTGAAATTAGGTAGTTTGATCCAAATTACACCTAGAGGGGGTGAATATGTGATTATGTGAAATTAAAACTAATAATTAAAAAGCAATTATCTCTATATGGTTAATCAATTAATTCAGTTNTCTAGATGGTTAATCAATTAATTCAGTTTTCCTATATTGAACTGCTGCAATTATATGAAAACAGTAAATAAGACAAGAAATGATAACAGAGAAACCCTCAACTGGGTAAAAACTCCAGCCCAAGCCAGTAACAATCCACTATAAACAAATTTAAACTTACAGTCCATTAGATACGACTACCACTAGTACTTTCTGACATCCTGACTGTAATTTCCACAACCCTCTTGGATTACGTGCTTCTACACCAACTCCCAACTTTATGAATTCATCTATCTCCTGTGGATCAACGAAGAACTTCGCGTTCTCCAACAATTAGAACTCCAATCACATTCCCTTGATCGTCAGAACTCTGACATGTGTTTAGGAAGTAATGATTTGGTTTTTGGTTTAAGAGATGATGATGTTTTTCAATGCAAACAATGAATTAAGTATGAAAATCATATTGCAATGTAATGAAGAAATCAAGAATGAGGTTGAATGCCTTGAAGGAAGTAATAGGAAGTTTTCCACAATGTTCAACCTATATCAATTTGTTTGGAGGCGTGCCAGTATTTATACTGTAGGTTTAGGGTTGTATGGGCCAGATAAAAAGTGTTAAAAACGAGAAACAAAATTTTTCAGATAACACTGTTGCTCGAGTGAAGGCTTAGCGACAGGTGAGCGACATGTTGTCGCGTTTGATGATGTAAATTTATGAATAATGATGTATGAGATGTGTTCTCTTGATGAATGATTATGTTTGGTATTTATAAGGCTTGAAAATTGGATGAGAATCGTGTCAAAATTCAATTCCAAGAAGAACTTGTGTCAAAATAGGAAACTGAAATGAAATCTCAGTTCTACGTAGTGCCTAGGAGCTACACTTGTTGTCCACTTTTTTTTTTTTTGTGCTGAGGCGCATCTTCCAAATGCATTCAATTGAGTTTAAACATTCTCCAATCGTCAATATTATGTCCGAATCAACTATTGAATGTGTGTCATTTAGTTCCCAAACTTTAGGTTTCGTCTTTTTTCGCTTCTTTCTTTCAATTTAGCTTCCAATTATTGAATCTCATCTAATGAATGAAATATACAGTAAGTTATGCCATAATTCATCAAAAGAACTATTCAAATCCTATACTTTCAGGCTCAAAATAGAAAAAATGAAAATGAACTCAAAAGTGAAAACTAAAACGCAAACCAAATGGACCCTTATTTTTTAATCAATAAGGGTAGTTTTAATCGATTCTCATGTTAGTTTTTCTAGTCTAGGCAGGTCAACTCGTGAACCAGCATTAAGAGATAATTTTGGTGTGATTTTTTAATGGGTTTGATGGTTTGAGATGTAGATCGTCCAACTTTTTTCATTAACTTTTATCAAAATTTATTAATAATTTGATTTTTAATTAAATCAAACGAGAAAAAAGAAAGGATAAACTTAAACGCTACAACGCCTCCATTTAGGATTCATAAATCCAAAAAAGTCATGATCGTGTCAACAAATCCACGGAACCTTATAAAGATTTTTTGACACGATTAAGAGAAGACCCTTCAGTCAGTGGAGAATATAATCCTATAGTTTTTATTAAATTCTGTCCACAGGTACAAGTTTGAACACAACCTTTTATTCTGATAACGTGATACTTGAGCCAAGAATTTTGCAACGCGTTTTGACGAGCATGGATAACTTTAACAATAGAAGGTTCGTGGACTTCTCCTATGCACTTTTGATATTAAAGGCGTGTTCGATAGAGATTAAAATTAAAAAATTAATCGTTATTGTTGACTTTTATTAGACGAGTGGAACCCAATAACGGCTATATTTTCAATTTTAATTGAATTTTAAGCTTGACAAAACATGCTCTAAGCCCTGTTTGACAAACATTAAAAATAGTTTTTTTGAAGAAAAAGAAATTTTATAATAGTAATTTTTTGAACCGTGTGTGATTAAGAAGTAGGAAAAAAAAAAATTTAAGCTTACGTGCAAAAATATTTTATTGTGTGAATATGTGGTTGAAAATAAGTTTAAAAAAAAAAGAGTTCTTGGAAAATAGATAACAAACATGTGCTAAATATTATATTATTCAATATTTCAAGAATTGCTAAGAAATTCATTGACGAACTGGATTAGGCAGTATAAAAATTTAGTATAAATTTATAATAAATAGTATAATTTATATAAATGGTATTTTCATTAGAATCTAGTCATATGCATTATTAATCGTATCATAATATGAAGGTTGGCGATGTGTTTTAAATCGAATAAGAAAAAAATATAGTTAACAACACTTTTTAAATAGAAAATTATATTATATTATCCAACTTAATTCGACATAATACTATGTATCTAGTAGTATTTATTATATTTTTGAGTCATACTACATGTATACTCTCATTTATCACTTTGTTTGCAGAATTTACACTTGACAAAATCTCGTACAATTTTCCACAACAAACACACTTAATCAGGTTGCTACAATTCTACCATTCAGGCATCTGTACACCAGCGTGGCAAGACAAACAAATTTTCTTAAATATTCTTTTATTAGATTTCTTATACAATCTAATTCGACGTGCCAATAGTGTACTAAAATTCATTTCAAGTCGAGACTTTCTACATACAATATTCTCAAAACTCGGTAATAAAATTCTTGCAAGAATTTTATTACCGAGTTTTGAGAATATTGTATGTAGAAAGTCTCGACTTGAAATGAATTTTAGTACACTATTGGCACGTCGAATTAGATTGTATAAGAAATCTAATAAAAGAATATTTAAGAAAATTTGTTTGTCTTGCCACGCTGGTGTACAGATGCCTGAATGGTAGAATTGTAGCAACCTGATTAAGTGTGTTTGTTGTGGAAAATTGTACGAGATTTNATGAGAAGTCCCCAAACTATGCAAATTGTAACATGTGAGTCCCTAATTATACTAATTTTCAAATCACACATTTATACATAAAAATATTTTGCACGTAAACCTAAAATTTTCTCCACCTTTTAATCACACATTCTACTAAAAATTACTATTCAAGACAGGGGCGGACGCAGACCTTAAAAGTTAGGGGAATACAATCGAACTTGTAAAGAAGTTGAGAGAAATTTTACAATCGAAAATTTATGTCCAAAAAAAATCATACCCCATGTAATTTTACATCCGAAAATTTACATAGGATATGACTTTTTTCGAATGTAAAATTTCGAAAATTTTTGATGTCATATTCTATATAAAATTTTAATGTATTTTTAACTATTTTCGATATCTGTTTGGATTATTCGATATGCTCATAATGTAATTCTCGAAATAAGTTTTGAGATAATATAAACAATTTGTAGATTCGATTAGAGTACGATTGTCGGAGAATTTTTAAAATTAGTATGTTATCGAAATTCAAATTTATTTTGATTTTGCCTCTATTTAGTGGAGATTAAAATCAATTTTTTATTAAAAGTTAAACAGTTATAGATTCCATAAAATATGTTATTAAAATTAATTGTTAACTTTGATTTAAATTAAAATTTAGATTTCAATCGATATCAAACACGGTTTTATATATAAAAAAAAAAATCTCAAAAGTTTTTGTGGGAGGAGGTCCGCCCATGATTCAAGATATTATTTTTGAGAAAAGATGGCCATCAGGACCTTGTAGAAAGTTCCATAGACTTCACATTGTGTAAAAATTTTATATGATGATACAATGACGTTTACGCAATGTTGAGAGAAGCTGGTGAAAACCTTCATCAAGTGTTCAATGACGTGAATTGAACGCAAAAAGAAGAAGCTTCACGCCTACTTTGTTGACAAAAAACCACACATTTCTTTTGACTTCAATTTCTTATCATATTCAGAGAAACATTGTCTTTGTACATTTCATTTTTTTAAAGTGATGGGCATATTTGGTTAAGTTTAAAATTCAATTAAAATTAAAAATATAATCGTTATTGGGTCTCACTCGTCTAATAAAAGTAAAAAATAACATCTAGTCTTTTCAATTTTAATCTCTTCCGAACACGTCTTATATCTAGTATGCAATATTTTTTTTTATATAATTTAAATATTTCTAGCTTTAGCGCAAGAAAAGACAACTTGCCTAATTTAAAAGATTCAAATTATTTTAAGAATATATCCTTTGTTACGTGTTTAATAAGATGCACTACTACACATCAAACTAAAGTTATAATCTTATTTATTATACCGTGCTATTTTTATACTAAAATGTTATTTATGATAAAAATATCAAAATAGCAAGTCATCTTAAACCTGCTAGCCTAGACTTAATAAAAGCTTGGACTAGCTAGCTAGACCACATGTTGGTCTAGTTACGCTAGTGTACTAGTCAAATTGAACTCACCTTCTTTGAGGGCGATCGGTAAGCCAATATCATTTTCTTTAAAGTAAGTGGATCACTTCGGACCCTATTTACGGGGAAAGTACGTTTTGGAACAGTGATTTTTTTTTTTTTTAAATGTGAGGTTAAAAATAAGAAATATTTTGAATTTATTTGTAAAACCATTTTATGGAAGAAAACGTGGCTGAAAATGAATTTTAAAATAAATAAGTTTTGATAAAAATGAAGCCCAAACATCAACCATAAACTTTGTTAATTCCAGTTTTTATGGTGAAACAATCAACGTTCGAGTCTCTTTTACGGTCAAATCTTGTGCCCCATATAAAGTAACCAACATCCCCCAAGACTTGTGATCCAAATTGGCTTTCGATCCCCCAAAAAAAAGGCAACCTCATTTGTTTTCATCAAAGAGGAAATGGGCAATCTTTTTGTATACATTCCTCTCTTGTTTGCTTTGTACATTTTCACCAAACACTTCTACCACAAGCTCAAAGGACATCCACCCAGTCCCATTCTGAATCTACCAATTCTTGGCCATCTCTATCTTGTCAAGAAACCCGTTTACAGATCTTTAGCAAAAGTTTCTGAAAAATATGGCCCAGTTCTCCTGCTTCAATTCGGTGCCCGCCGAGTTCTCCTGGTGTCCTCGCCGTCAGCCGCTGAAGAGTGCCTCCATAAAAACGATATCGTTTTCGCCAATCGGCCCCAAATGATGGCTGGAAAATATCTGGGCAATAATTATACATCCTTGGCATGGACTTCTTATGGAGATCACTGGCGAAACCTTCGTAAAATATCATCACTTGAAGTGCTATCTACTCATAGACTCCAAATGCTTCAGAATATTCGTATTGATGAAGTTAAGAGTATGATCCAAAGGGTATATCGTCATTCTGAAGAAAAGCATGTGGTTGATATGAAAACTGCGTTTTTCGAAACGACGTTGAACGTGATGATGAGAATGATAGCTGGGAAAAGGTATTATGGTGAGAACGTGGAGGAAATTGAGGAGGCAAACACGTTTAGGGAGATTTTAAGAGAGGCTTTCCTTCTTGGTTCGACAAATACAGCGGATTTTGTGCCAGTGCTGCGGTGGCTGGGAGTGGGTGGGGTGGAGAAGAGATTGATGTTGTTGCAGAAGAAGAGAGAAAAGTTTATGCAGGAACTGGTGGATCAATGTAAAACAAGATTGGGCGACGGAGCATCGGAGTCGGAGGTTGGTGGGAAGAGGAAAACGATGATTGAAGTGTTGTTGACACTGCAGAAGGAAGAACCTGAGTATTACACTGATAGAATTATTAGAAGCCTCATGCTGGTAAGTTTCCCTAATTCCACTTATCTTTTCTGTTAATTCTACTTTGCAATTAAATTAGTTAGGATCACAAAAGGGCTTTGACGAATATCGGTAGATTGTCTGTATTTTGATGTCTGTCTACTCCAGTAAGAAGCAAAACATAAATTTTCTTTAGGATTCATCTATTCGACCCTTCACTTTGTCAGAAAGATGTTAATAAATTTATTGACTTAATGGGCGTCGAATGTATTTTAAACAGTTCAATAATAACCTCTTACATGGTTCTGAGATTTTATTATTCAAATTGAATCTGAGATTTGATCGGCTATTTTATAATGGATAATGTGTGTACCTGTAAATTGGATGATACAAGTGTGAAAATGATCTTCCTGAAATTGTCAAAAGGAAAGAAAAAACATTGATTAGAATTTTTAAAATGGGTAGTGTGGGGTCCTTCCTGAAAAGATAAATCACTTAGAAATATAAGTATTTGTGTTTGGAGTTGAAATTTCAAATTTGATTCCTCCTTTATTGAGTGCTTGAAAGTCACTTTATTATATTATTCCTTTGTGGGAATTTGCAAAGGGAGATATATTATATTCGAAATTCAACTTTGGCGACTCAACTGAGCGGATAAGCATAGAATAAAGCTTAATTTACTTGAGCATTACTTGTAACATCTTGAATTTCGTTATAGTTAACCCAAAAAAATAACGCAAAAGATTAGAAACTCATCAATCTCAAGCTGAGTCACGTCAAAATATAGCTTGACAATACTAAAAAATCATTTTTATATCAAAATCGAACACTATAAAACTTGGCCGAACTGTTTGGCTCTCTCTGGCCAGGTGGGCTGTACAAGGTTTCGGCTTCATAATGGCCCGCACTGCTATTTACATGTTATGACCATGTGTTCAAGAATCATCAAATCCTATTTGTTATTTTGATTAAATGTTTGGACTTCTAGGTTTTGTTGTTAGCGGGGACAGATACATCAGCTGGAACAATGGAGTGGGCATTGTCCCTTTTATTGAACAATCCAGAAGTCTTGAAGAAAGCACAAAAGGAAATTGATGATCAAATTGGACACGAGCGCTTAATAGATGAATCGGACATAGCTAATCTTCCTTATTTGCACTGTATTATAAACGAAACATTGCGAATGTACCCTCCAGGACCTCTTCTAATACCTCATGAGTCATCAGAAGATAGTGTTATCGGAGGATATCGTGTACCAGGAGGCACTATGCTTTTAGTGAACTTGTGGGCTATACACAATGATCCCAAGATTTGTGATGATTCCAGAAAGTTCAAGCCTGAAATATTCGAAGGCCTAGAAGCAACAAGAGATGGATTCAAAATGATGCCATTTGGTTCTGGGAGGAGAGGATGTCCCGGGGAGGGCTTAGCCATACGCATGGTCGGGCTGGGTTTGGGATCAGTTATCCAATGCTTTGATTGGGAAAGAGTTGGCGAGGAACTGGTTGACATGGCTGAAGGCACGGGACTATCCATGCCTAGAGCTCAACCTTTAATGGCCAAGTGCACCCCTCGCCCTGTTGTAGCTAAGCTTTTTTCTGTTTGAAATGTACTCTTTTTTATGCTTTATTTCTTCGATACGTTTTCTTTAGAAAATGTTGCTCGCGTACTGTTTTGCAACAAGAGAGATTGAGAAATTTCTAAGAATATCGACCATCATTCAGCTTTTCCCATAAAAAATATATTATGCAGTCAGGTTTGTTCATGACCACAATTAAAGGGATTGGCGTTTCCCTATATATTTTAACTTATTGTTCTGGATTTGTTTCCATTATTATGTGATATATTTTCCTCATAAAATTTGTGGCTGCTTAATTTTTTTGAGTAAAATAGTTTAATAAAACCGTCTTCCGAAATCCCGAATGTTTAATTTAGAGCTGGTGGCGAAACAAGCACAGCACCAGCTTGATAACAGTATGCCTACAGTATCGATCCCAATAGAACTGGTGTTTTGAGTGTCAAAATTTAATAATTTTAACGTTATATGAACAATTGATTAATGATGTGTTTACAGCCAAATAAAATCAAATTGCCGTTGGAATCAATAAAATTGAAATGTTAGGACTGCATAATTTTGCTACAGTTTATCTGATTCTATTAAACTTTTTAGACTTCGACATTATTTAATCATGCAATACACTGAACTTCCTACTTTATAAATATTAGAATTCGACATTCACTGGTGATATTAACACGATCCACTTAATAAGGTGAGGGCAATCCTTTCATAACAAATCGATTTTGTTAGGTTGAGTTAGGTTTAATATTCTTTCTAATATGGTATTAGAGCATGTTCAGTTTTGCAATGTTGAGTGCACCAAATATCGATTTGTTCACAGTTGTTTGACATGGTTCACGCTGTGCGTGAGGGGGCGTATTAAAAATTGTGTCTGCAGGTGCCATTTTCGGTTTCAGTGTTGACTTGTATTTTAGTTTCATTAGATTCCCACATCCGACTGGTAATATTAACACGATCCACTTAATAAGGTGAGGGCAATCCTTTCCTGACAAGTCGATTTTGTTAGGTTGAGTTAAGCACAATGTCCTTTCTGATAATAAAAACAATTTCTCACTAATAAAGTAAAAAATACGTTTAAAGGTGTCACGTACTTTCGTTTAATACAAGATCACACTCCACGTGCTTTGCTTCCATTGCAACTCTTGTCTATCAAACTTTTGATCATCCTCCAGGAACAAATGCCTCTTCAAAAGACAATCTTGAAGAAATAGACGATCCTTATCTTGAATATGAGCTAAAAACATTTGAGACTCCTAAATCGATTTAATTCTCATAGAAAGAAAAGGACATTGGATTTGATATATGAAAACAATGAGGAGAAAGATCAATTATAGTCCAAACTGAATTAACACAAAGTCAAACTAGGTGGGCAAAACTCTTTAGCACCATTGTTTGCTTTAGTGAAGTGGGCCCAGGCTGCCCTGTTTGATGTCAGAAGTTGTTTTCTAAACAAGGCTACTTTGAAAAATATTGCTACTTTGACGTACGACTAGTTAACAAGATGTAAAGGAACACGCAGGTGGTTATCAGAGGACTACACTAACCTGAGTACTGATGGGGACAGTGTATACACTATGCAGCAAAGTCACATTTATAGCATGTTTGGTTTGGTCGAAGGAATTGGACTCCAGTGAACAGTATTATGCATGTTTTGTTTGGTAAAGCGGACTGGATTGAACTGGACTATATTGAATAATAAGCTCAACTCTTATTCATTATTCTGTCTAGACATATCCACTACAAGTACCAAGCATGCATATGTGGTAGAACGAGAAAAAATCAAGCATACTGATGAACCACCTGATCTGACTTTTGAAATTATAGGCCTGCTTGACTGTTGACTAGCTTAAACCAGTGCGAGGTAAAGGTAAATGCAGTACAATGAATGCATGTTCATTTAAGCTATCAAAGATAGCTGAACTCCACTGCGTGTAATGATGACCTTTACATATTCCTTGGGATTTATCTCTATATTACTTGTTACCCCCCTCGTTTCGAGGGTTGCAAAAGGATGGCCACGTGGCAAGCCACGTGTAGGGCAGTCGGAAAAGAGCAGAGAGGGACAACCAAGTGGGTCGGGAGTCCCGCGAAGGAAACGGGCCGAGGCCCTT